TTGGGTATTTTCTTCCTTTTTTTTTTTTTAAAAGTGCATAGATCTCAGTATTTATTGTATAATCATAAATCAATGTTATTTTTACCTTTTGTATCTCATAAATCAGATATCAGCTTATACAGAGAAATTTTAAATCTGTGAGCACTAAGAAAAAAACACAAAATTAGTTTAGGAATATTTGGATGTAATATGCTCTCAGTTCACAGGTACATAATTTGTTCATGTTAAAGGAAGCAGTATGTGGAAATTCAGAAGATGGTGTAAAATTCAAAGAAAAGCCTGTGTATTATTTGTATGTAAATATCTTGTAAGTGTGATAATGCTGGGAATTACATTTCAGTATTCTAATGTACACATTTAAACACTGAGTGAAATGGATTTGTAGTAGAGAAGCATGCTACTTCTGTCAAGGAAAGTGCTTTTTGATGCTGATCTAGATAGACTAAATTTACCAAACTTTGGTATAGTGGGGAAAACATAGGTACAAATATTGAACTTCTGGTTTTTAAAAAGCCAGTAGTTTAGATCAAACGTTAATGCTATGTTAAAGTTAAATGTTAAATGCTATGTTAAAGTTAAATGTTAAATGCTATGTTAAAGTTTTAAGGAATCTCAACTCGTGAAAGGTTTGCAAAAACATCAAATTATGAAACAAGCTTTTTCAGCTCACTTTTTGTATTTATTTTTTTTTTAACCAGCTGTATTCTGATCACGGAGTTCAAGCACCACATCACCAGCCTTACGCCCAGAGTGCCATAGCCATGCCTGCACCTGTGAGTATCAAACTAAAGTTGTTAAAGTAAGCATTGTAGTCTTACTGTCCCCTTTCTTGAAGGGGGATGGTAAGAGAAGAGGGGCAGGGATGAAGAAGTCTTTTATTAATGAATTAATAAGGAAAACAGAAGCATTGCAGAGAAACTGAGATTTTTCTTCACTTGAGGCTTTGATACAGAGGACATAAGTATTACTTATTGTGGAACTATTTGGGGAAAGTAAAAAAATAAATATGACTAGTTATTTTAAAACTTGAGATACAAAGAAAACTGGAAATGAAAAATGTGTTTTGAGAGAAAACAGCGAACCTTGTTCAGTTCTTTGAAATAATGGTTACAAATCCTTGTCTCTCTGTCTCTGGATCTTGAGAAGTTGAATTCATTACTTGCAGCCTTAGATAAGCACCTCATGTTGTGGCGAGGTGGGGTTTCGGAACACAGAGCATGAAAAACTGTCCCGGTTGGCCGCCTGTGGGGGTGTTTCTGTACAGTTCTAATTTTGAACGGCCATTTGAAAATGTGATTCCTCCATGTCACCTAATGCAAGTCGTTGGGGTTTTGGGGGTCCCAGTTTAAGGTCCTTTTGCCTAAATTAGTAAGGTTGTTAACACCAACATATGAAATAATGTCTAAATGAGATTTAGCCTAGATTTGCCTGATAGCAAAGGGCTAAAGTTATCAGTAGTTTTACCTGATATTGCAGCACTTACTTTTCTGTGAAAGATGCTTACTCAACTACAAATGACAGACTAAATATGAATGAATCAAAGCTGTGTTACAGGCTTTTATATGTATTTTTTCATTTATTTTACCTTTCTTTTAAGAGAAGAATCTTTTTTCCAGACTACTGTGTAACAGTTTCTACTAAATATTTCCAGTAGAGGGGGCTGTAACATTAAGTGTTGTCTTGGAATAAAATGCAAGTACTCCAATAAAAAAAAGCTGAATATTAATTTGAGAATACTAATCCTGAGTGATTTGTATTTTTAAGAAATATTTAAAAGGGACTTGGTGTAACACAGTGATCATAATACCCAGTTTATATTGCATTTTCTAACAGTGTATGGAAAAACTTAAAAAAAAACAAACGGCAATAGTAGTCTCAAAATCAAAAATAAGTGCATGCTTACTGTATCAAATAGAGAAACAAGCTTTTTCACCTTGACACTTGACTTTTGTTATCTTTCCTAGGGCCAAGGCTGTACGAACAAGATAGTGTGAAGTAAGTTGCAGGGTAGATCTAGAGCATGGTAGCTCTTCCTCTTCTACAGTAATTGCCACAGTACCATGCTTTACCTTATAGCAAAGGCAAAGTAGTTTACTCTGTGATAAGTGATGATGTGTTAATTTACAGTAGAATATGTGCATGCATGGTAAACCCATGTTTGGTTACTGTGGCATAGGAAATGAGCTGCAAATTCAGACTCTTATTTATCTCCTGATATAATATTTTCTGTGTTTATTCATTGCTTTAGAAGTGATTTCACACAAGCCAAAGCTGGCATAACCCAGGAATTCATTCCATTTTCCACACCACCCATTTTCTGTGCTGGTAGAGGTTTTTGTGAGGCAATATGGTAAACCAGGTTAGGGAACTGATGTAGCTGAAGACGAAGCCCCACTCCCTCCACCCAAAAAGAGCTAACTTTAAACTTGGATCAGTTCCTCAGACCAGTTTGTCAAGAAACTGCACAAACTGTTGTACCTGTACAAGAAGTTTGAGATAGGATAGGTAAGACTTGTGTTAGCAAGGCAGATTTAAACTTGATGAAACTGAGCATGAACCCCGTCCGTTCCTTCACTGTATTTCTTGCTCATTCTTACCCATTTTCTCAGAAGTCTTCTGTTACCTATAATTGAAACTCTGCTTTGTTCAGATCTCAAGTAGATTCACAGATGTAGTTAAACCCTTACAAAAACTTGCTGAATTCTGATGCTTTTATTCATTACAAGGTGATGCCAAATAGTTTTTGACAAGTTTTTATTTTTATTTATTTAGTTAGCTTTGTTTAGTAGTAACTAGTAGTTCTGGAATATAATTCTTCCTTTTCAGATTTCACCTTACTTTTTAACATGCCCACTTCAAGTTTTGAATATATTCCATGTGTAATGAATATTATCAGCTTGTGTTATGTCTATCACTGTGGCTGAGCACTCAGCAATGATTGGAAAAAAAAAAAAGAGCAAATGTTGACAGCAGACTGCTATGTATTAAGCAAGTGGTTGTGTCATTGCCACCTGCTCCCTAGCTGCATAAAAATACTGCCTGCTGGCTGTAGTCTTGTGAAAATATCCCAACAAATATATCTGCTGCTTGAAAATTGCCAAGTAGTGGCCATGTAAGAGAGCAGATGCCTAAAATAAGGACCTTACCTTGATGGTAATTTCCTAATTGCCTCCACTGCATTAGAAATTGAGTTAGGAATAAATATATGCTTTATAGTAGGAGCTGTAAGTCATATGGTGAGAGCAGGATGGGTACAGCCAGTATCCAGATATTTTTTGCAATTATAGACTTCTTACAGCTTTCAAATCCAACAAAATGGATTAAATCTTTATTGAAGAAGAAAAGCACAAATTTCTAAGCCAGTGTTTCCATAGCTGTTGCGGATGTATAAAAAGAGAACTTAGTTCATTAATCATGTAAACTGTTTAGCAGTTAACAAAGGAAGCTTCAGTTTTGGCAATTCTGTAACTTATTTTTTATTCTCTCTATCACTTAAATAGCATTTTTTTGATGTAACTTTTAGTACAAAATTTGTAATAGTCTTAAATGAAAATCAGAAGAAAACATTTCCCAATTTCCAACCATAACTTATTTTCTAGATCCAAATTTGGTATTTAAGATCAGGTTAGAATCAAAAATACTAATCCCCTCCCCTTGATCATGTGTTTGCTAATGATCCTTTGTGTTTACTTGAAGGTGTTTCTTTAAGGGATTATGGCATATTTTGTTTATGAGTATGTGGAAGTGATTTCATCTTCACATCTATACAAATGAATAAGGTTGACATTCATTCTTAAAGACTGCTAGGTGACACTTGTTTTTTAGGAAGCATGAATTTTTTCATCTCTACTGGATCTTGTGCAGTGTTTCAGATCTTAAATCGTCCTCTAATAGGGAGATTAATGTTTGAATGCTTCTAGAGGACATGTATGAGATGATTGTGTTTGGTAGCAAGATCTGTGTGGTCTACAGTAACAGCAGAAACTTGAGGGAAGACTAAAATTTGTGTTCTCTGGTTTTGGACCTGGGAGAAATACCTGTGAGTTAAATTTTTGTTTTGTTGGATGGTTATCTTGAGTTCTGAGGCACTGGCCTGGTAAATGTTTGTTGGATATTGTGTGTGTATGAGGGAGACCCATGAGGCCTGGGGAGCTGAGCAATGCAGTTGCAGTCTACATAAACTGAGCAAAGGTGTAAAAGGTTCTGGTGCATGGAGGTAGGTGGGTTTTTTTGTTTTGTTTCGTGCTTTTTTTTTTTGTTTTGGTTTTGTTTTGTTTTTTTAATTATTCTTGGTCATCTTTTTCAGCTGCAGTATACCTGTCAGAGGGTAGGCATGGTTCTAGTCTCAGTCAGTTTTTGCTGTTCCCATGGTCTGTATCCAACGAATGTTTTAGCCAACATTAACAATATGGGATCATAAGGTGTCTTTTCCTGCAGGGGACTTTTTAGGTCCTTGGGGGAGGGGAGGTGGTATTCTCTTTTATTTGAGGTTGGACATTAAGCTTCACGGGTGGGGGGCAGGGGGAATCAGTCTTATGTTATCTAAACTTTTGACTCCTGTCCCTACACTAGACTGGTTGTAGCTGACAAAGTCTGACAATCTTCCTTTAATCTAATTCTTGGAACCTAAAAGTGCTATACACTGGGTTGGAGTGCAGAGCTATAGTACTTCTTTTAAGCTTACCCTTTTGTTTAGAAAATGTTCTGGAAAGGCACAGAAGAGTACAAAGGTAGTAAGTATTTTTTACTTTTTTTTTTTTTCTGAAAACCCAATTAACTCTAACAACAAGAACCTATCAATGATAGAAATGTATCCTGGTTTTCAGATTAGTTTGCGTGTTTGGTTTTTGTCACTATTTTGTTGTCTACTCCCCATAATCTTTTTTGATAGCTTTAAAATTGAATTTTCTACTTACTGTAAGAAAATATGTTTTAGAAAGGTCAAAGATTCTTTGCTTGAGCATTTCCAGTCTACAGTATATTGGCAGTAATTATATTGCCTCTAACTGAAAAGGCAGAGGAGGATCTTCCTATGTCAAAACAGAATTTAGGGTATTCATTTGTAATATAGTTCCTGTGTATATGCATTCAGATTGTAATGGTGCGTGGTGCCAACACCTTGGCCTTTTGGTAGTGAATGTTCTGTAAATTTAACTGAACTTAGAGCACTCCATTTTTCTCTGCAGTTAAGAGTAATAAGCTAAAATTTGTGTTCTGTATAATACACATAAATATACATGTGTTTATACATGTTTGTATATGTACATACATAAATTGTGTTTTTTATAAGGGGAAGTCTTGGTGTAATCATTTTGGGAGAAGTATAGTAATTTTATACTAGTACTGTGTGCTATTGTATGATAGTCCATCTGGAACAAAAAAGATGAACCTTACAACATGTTTTCTGTATAGGTAAGTATTCTTTCATTTATACACGCAGTGAAATTGAGAGAGAGAGAGAGAATAAACCTTTTTGTTTAAAGTTACCTTAATCTCAGAAACATAAATTTGAACTTCTAGTTGTCATAATATATTACTAACAAGAGGCTTGTCACCAGCTGTAGCAAGGTCTTATTGCCTGTAAAAGGGTTTTTTTTAAACTCCACCAAAAATACATTTGTTAATTTTATATTAACATAGAAAGGTGCAGATGGCATGCTTTTTCTCACATTGTTTCCTTCTGTGTTCTCTTTACAATATCCTCTTTTTTCTACTCTAATAGCTTGTTCTCATACCAGTTTAGTGGTGTTTTTTCTTTTGATTTCTCTGATATGTATGTTCTCTTTTTCTTTACTTGACAGACACTATGGAGCATTCACTATTAAGCCACTTGGGCAGCTCTAATCTACCTGTACTGATTTTTCTTGTCCAGTCCTTCCCATGTGGCCAAGATCCATCATCAACAAACCAGCTAGCAGTTGCTTGTTGTGGAACTTCAGGTCAGTTGTTTCATTGCAATGCTTGCTATTTACAAATTGGTAAATAATAAAACATGCTCTGTTAGAATTTAGCATAGTCTGCAATATTACTTAGCTGCTTCCTGCATGTTTGTAAATTTCCTAATAATTCTGTTATGTAAAACAATTTATATAATCCATGTCATTCATTCCTGGGATGATCACATATATATTAGTTCCATCATTATTTTCTTTCCAGTTCAACTTCCCAAGTTCTGTATGTGTTTGGATTATTATCCTTCAACAGGGAGGGAAATTTTCAGCACTTTAATGTATGATTTTTGTTTCTGAAACTGTTTTAATTCCTTTATTGACAACTCAACTTTTGACCCTTTTCTCCCTATTTTGTGTGATTTACAGTGGTTTGATTTCATGGAGTTATACTCCGGCAGCTGCTTAACTATGCTTTTTATTGTGAAAAAGGTGCTGCTTTTAGTTGCTTACACTTCTTCAAAAATTAGTATTTTAATAAAATGAAGCTGGGGAAGAATAAATGTTTTGCACATATTGAAATTTGTGTCCATTTCTTGTTTTGATAGCCTTTAAACAACCCGGTGATTTGTAGTAGGGGCTTGCTATTTGTTAAGGTGTGACTTAAGGTCTCTGTATGTCTGTGTCATTCATCCCCAGATGTGGCTTTTAAAAAATATTAGAGGTTTGTCAGTGTGAAACTGAGCATAGGTTGTGTGTTTTTTTTCTGTTGGGACCAGCCAATAGAGAGGAGAAAATGTGTTTGTGTCCATATTCTAATAGGAGTCAAAACTAAAGAAGGAGTAAGAGAAATAGATTGGGACTGAAGTCCTGTAAGGTTGATATAATGAAAGCTAAAATGAGCAGGGACACTGGCACTAGATGGCCGTGGCACCTAGAGATTTAGGAAAGCAGTGCACAACATGATGTGCAGCTGGTAGGTGATGGAAAAAAAATGAAATCTTGAGATTAAAGTGGGTTGAATATCCTGATAGGGATGTAGGAACTACAGCTGGTTGTATTAGGAAACTGGCAGAGACAGAAGGGAGGGTGAAAAGATGAGTAGGTTTAACAAACAAACAAACAAAAAGTTAGTGTGCTGAAAAGGCCTGAGCTAAGAAGACAAGGTTAGAAAACAAAGATAGTTTGCGTCTGTCACGTGGCATAGTAGTAGTGGGAAGAAAGGACTCAGATTGGTTAAGTAAAGAGAATAAAACAGATAGGAGTTCCACAAATTGGATACAGAACAGATGAGCTACAAAGGGAGACGGTAAGAGAATTTGATCTTGGGAAGAATAAAGAGAACAGTACAAGTATTCTAAAAACTGTTCTTGCCAGCACCTAAAATGGTAGCCCTGTTTTCTGGATCTTGCCATCCTTTGCCAGCAGCTCGTGGTGTCCACTGACAAGTCACTTAATCACAGTCTGTTGCCTGTTTGTTAGTTTACAAATAGGACAGCTATCAGTTCTTCAGCTCAAGTTTTATAAATCTGAGTTTTAGCTACTGAAAAAATAATGTAAGCATTATTATAAATTCCTGTAGTAATACATTGCTCTAATCTACATTACAGAGAATGCAAAAGTAAAAAAAAAAAAAATAGAATTGGTTAAATAGTTTTGCACTGTAACATTATAAAAATAAATTTTCCCTATCCAATTAGAAAGAGGATACGATTGCCTTAACTTGACATACTTTACTAAGGCTATAATGATCAATGAACAAAACTTGTTGGTTTTTTTTTTTAAAGTAAATAAATTCTGAACTTGTTCTAAGATTCCATAGTTGTAAATAAAGGAAGATATTTCTTGCCACTATTGATTTCACCTGTGTATGTAATGGAAATCTGATTTTCCTTTTTGAACTAAGTCTGTCTAGCTGTTGCAATACCAAAATGGACTGTAACTTTTCATTGAAACATTATTAAGGTAGTAAATGGGACACACTTTGAAATAGAGGAAACAACGCAGCATTTTTCCCTCTCTTTAGGAATCAAGGTCGCGTTCTGTGAGAAGAAATTTTTCACATCGTTCGTCTGTGAGTCTGAAACCTCGATATACATGAAGTCCCCATTTTCATCCTAGAAAAGATTACAGAATGGAAGATAAAATTCTTACACCACCTTCTTCTACAGATTCTGTAAAACAGATTTTTAGCTATCTGCTTTGCTAACATACCTATCACGTGGAGGATGTGTTCTTCCTAACTTCTAACATTTGCCCGAAAATGCCTAAGTTAAAATACTGCTCCTTTTTGTAAAGAAATAAAATGAAATTTTGTAGTTTGGACAGGTAAAAACACATGAAACCATGACTTTATCCTGCATTTCCTTTCTTGGTAGAAATACTGTTACAGGACAAAATGGTGATTTCTGATACACAGCCTACTGTATAAACTTTGGTTACTAACATAGATTGAAAACCAGCATACTTTTATTAAAGGGAAAATTTAGCATTTAATTTCTGGATTACATAAACGTAAAAGATCCATTAGTTACGAAGTAAAAGCCATTTTCCCCCCATACTGACAGCGTTTATGTGCTGTGGGTTAAAATCTGGTTATTTAAATCTATGTGCATTTTGTTTCAATTCCAATAGAGTTTGTCTACTTTTCTTTTTTTTTGCAATCAGTATTTTCTGCTTTTATAAACTGTTTTACTTATGTGCCATGTTTAGTGCTTGGGAATAATAACTTTTTAAAATAAAATTTGGACCACTAGTTTAATAATTACTTATCCTCACATGAGGCTGACATTTTTCTTGCATATGGTAAGCGGTAAATTTGGTTTTATGGTATGTTTTTAGCTGTAGAAAAAGGCAAGAATTGACTTCTTACCATTACAAGACCGTCGAAGACTTCTCCTTGCTGCTTTGCCTTTTTCTGTTGGCTGCACAAAACTTAGCAGTATCAGGAGTTGAGATGGAGTACTACTTTCTCCTCAACTGCAGGAAAGGAATTTTCTTTTTTTTTTTTTTTTTTTCCCCTTGATTCTCCTCTCACTCCCCTAGGATTCATTTTATGCTTTGTAAAAGTCAGACTCCTCAAAGGTTAAAATACAACCTCTGTAGTTAATAGGAGTGCAAGCTATGGCGTATTGCTTATGTAGCACTGAGGTCTTTATTTTATGTGTGTAAAATATCCTTGAGCTTTTCAATTTTTATCTGCTCTCTAGTAATTTGGGGGTTTTCTTTTTGTTGTTGTGTTTTTTTTGGTTTTTTTTTTTCCATTAATCATTCAGGGATCTTAGAGTGGGCATTATAGTCAGTAAATAATCCACATAATATGTAAATATATTTAAAGATGATTCTAGCAGTCAATAGCATTCTTTCATATTGTGCAGGAAGAGAGGTGGAGTCTGGTTCTGTTCTTACGCTGTTTTGACACTGTTGTGAAAGGAGATGCCATGTACTATGTCTTGGTTGCAAGTTTCCTCAGGTGACTTTCCACGTTTTGCTAGGTAGAAAAATCTACACAAATATAATTTAATAGTTTCTGTTTTTAAAAACTTGTTACCATAGTAGCTGTGGGGGATTGTTTTACTGATAAGTATCAAAAAAGATATGCAATTTGTTGGATACATGGGGATCTCAGCCTATTTTTGAGGGGGGAAATACTCATCACCTGCAGATTGTCATGTTTCTGAGCCAGTCTGTACCACTAAAAACATCTGTACAGTTGTTCTTCTGTTTTATTTTTAGATTTTTAGAATTCATCGATATATTGCAGAAATCTTGGCACATCATAACAATAATTTGTTTCCATGGAAGAATTTTTACATAGTAAATATTTTTTTTAATGAAGCGCTGTCTCTGAAGGGGCCAAAGAAAGGTTGTATGTTCTGTTAGAGCTTCATTTCTTTTATCATGAAACAAATACGCATTTGACACAGGATTCAGAAGATTTAGTCCCAAGTCCTTATTTTTGGAATTCACAATTTTTTCACCAAACATGACTTCCCTGTTTTTAAAATGCTTTAGAGATCCAAGAAGTAAATTTTACAGTGAGTACTATATTAAAAAAAAAGTGCGTACAGGGAAGTCTTTTGAACTAATTGCTTGAAAGTGTACAAAAACTGTGCAGTCATTTACATGTCATATCAGATTGTGGCTCTAGTCCAGATATTCTCAAAGTGTAGTTTATTTTCCATTAATTGGTACAGATGTTAGATTGTTGATAATGAGTTGATCCCATGGCCTTTGCTTCAAAGAACATTTACTTTGTTTTTACTTGCATGTGAACTCGATCATTTGGAAGGATAGTCAGTGTTAGGCACAGGAGTCTACCTGCAGTGTTCTACTATGGGGCCTATAATGTCAGTCCGGAGGTGGTGTTGGTTAGGATTGTATCACCAGGTCTTAACAATGCTTCATTTTGATTCGAGAGACCTAGAAGAGACCAAGACGAAACTCTGAATGTTGGCTTTCCTCCAGGAACCACAGGTCACTGTTGAAATACTGACAGCTCTCCATTCATGTTGTAGCTCGTATTTCTTCAAAATGCTTGCCGAGAATGATGGCATAACATCAATCAGTAGTAACTGAACCTTTAAGCCTCCAGTAGTTGAATCCTTCCATAGGCACAATTGAGGCACAGTAACTGACTTCTGTAATTTCGTTACAGGGATACACAAATGATATGCGCTGAGAAAAGACTACATCATTTCCTCAGGTAGTGCCTAAAATTGCATTATCTTGATGTTGTAGCATTCGTGACTTTTTAAATTTCTTACGCTACACAGTATTATTCTCCTGCCACTTAAAATTTCCGTAGTAAGGAAATTCCTGTGCTTTTATACAGAAGTCATTTAGTTAACTGCAGATATTAAGATCGTGATCCATCACTGATTTTGGGGGTTGAAGAAGGGCAACATTGGTTTTGATCTTCTGCAGTTTCCCATTGATAGTTGTAAGGCTTTACACACGTGCTAGGAGGGAACACATCAGATTAGGACTGTGGCCTATGGACATTCAGTAGCTACAGCAAATAATGG